ACTGATACAGTCTCTTTACTAGTAACTGATCTATTGAGATTTTCTACTTCATCAGGATTTAGTCTTACAAGGCTGTATGTTTCTAAAAATTGATCTGTTGCTTCTAGGTTGTGCAATTTTTTGGCATAAAATTGTTCATAGTGGTCTCTCATGACTCTTTGTATTTCTGTGGTATAAGTTGTAAGGTCTCCTCTTTTATTTCTGATTTTATTTATTTGAGCCATCTCTCCTTCTCTCTTGGTGAGTCTAACTAAAAGTTTATCAATTTTGTCTTTTAAAAGAACCAGCTTAGTTTTTTCTACTGTATTTTTAATCTGTATTTCATTTCTGCTCTTTGTTACTTCCATTATTCCACTAACTTTGGTTTCATTTTCTAGTTCTCTGATGTGTAAAGTTAAGTTTGAGACTTTTCTTGTTTCCCAGGTAAGCATTTATTGATACGAACTTCCTTCTTAGAACTGCTCTGGCTGCATTCAATAAATTTTTGTGTTGTATTTCCATTTTCATTTGTTTCGAGAGAATTTTTAATTTCTCTATTGATTTATTCATTGACCCAATGGTTCTGTAGCATTTTTTTTTTTTAATTTTTGCAAAAGATTTTATTTATGTATTTGAGAAAGAGAGCAAAAGAGCGAGCGAGCAATCGAGCACATGAGCAGGGGGAGGGGTAGAGGGAGAGGGACAAGCAGACTCCCTGCTCAGCAGGGAGCCCGACGCAGGGCTCAGTCCCAGGACCCTGGGATCATGACCTGAGCCGAAGGCAGACGGTTAATGACTGAGCCACCCAGGTGCCCCTGCAGCATACTGTTTAAACTCCACGTATCTGTGAATTTTCCAGTCTTCTTCCTTTAATTGATTTCTAGTTACATATCATTGTGCTCAGAAAAGATGCTTGATAAGATTTCATTCTTTTTAAATTTATTAAGACTTGCTTTGTGGCCTAACCTATGATCTATCCTGGACAATGTTCCATATGCACTTGAGAAAAATGTATATTCTGGCTTTTGGATGGAATGTTCTGTATATAGCTTTTAAGTCCATCTGGTCTAACATGTTATTTAAGAACAATGTTTCTTTACTGATATTTTGGCTAGATGATGTAAGTGGGGTATTACATTCCCCTATTATACTGCTATCAATTTTTCCCTTTAGGTCTCTTAATATATGCTTTATATATATATTCAGGTGCTTCAATGCTGGGTGCATATATTACATCGTAGTGGTGGACTGACACCTTTATCACTATATAATGTCCTTCTTTGTCTCTTAATTCCTCTTATTTTAGAGTCCATTTTGTCTATTAACCTACCCCAGCTTTCTTTTGGTTTCTATTTGCATGGAACATCTCTTTCATCCCTTTAACTTTGGTCTTATATCTGAAGTGAGTCTCTTACAAGCAGCATATAGATGTTTTTATTATTTTTAATCCATTCAGCTATTCTGTCTTCTGATTGGAGAATTTAGTCCATTTACAGATTATTGATAGCTATGTACTTACTGGCATGTTGTCAACTGTTTCCTGGCTGTTTCTATAGTTTGTCTCTGTTTCTTTCTTCTCTGTGCTCTTCCTTTGTGGTTTGAGGACTTTATTTACTGGCATGCTTAAATTCCTTTCTCATTTTTTGTGTATCTACTATAGGTTTTTGCTTTGTAGTTACCCTGGGGCTTACATATAACAACCTATATTTAGAACTATTTTAAGTTGAGAACCACTGAAGTTTGAAGATATTCTAAAGCTCTACCTTATTTTTAGTCTCCCCCCACTGACATTTGATGTTTTTGATGTCACATTTTATCTTTATCTAGTGTATCCCTTAACTAATTACTGTATAGTTATTTTTACTATTTTTGTTTTTTAATCCTCATGCTACCTTTATAAGTAATTAATCCACTACACCTTTACCATATGCTTACCTTTGCCAGTGAGATTTATACTTATATTTGTTTTCTTATTAATTAGTGCCCTTTCTTTTCAGCTTAAAGTCTTTTTAACATTTGTCAGGTTGGCTTAGTTGTAATGAACTTGTTTACCTTATGCTTATCTAGAAAACTCTTTCTCCTTCAATTCTAAATGCTAACTTTGCAGGGTAGAGTATTCTTGGTTGGAAGCTGTTTTCTTTCAGTACTTTGAATGTATCCTGCTGTCCCCTTTCTGGCCTGCAATGTTTGTGCTGAAAAACATGCTGACAGTCTTATGGGGGTGGGGGTTCGGTTCCCCCTACATATAACAAGTGGTTTTTCTCTTGCTACTTTTAAGACCTCTTTAACTTTTGGTATTTTAATTACAAAAGGTCTTGGTGTAAGTCTCTTCGGGATCATCTAACTTGGAACCTTCTGGTCTTCCTGGATCTGGATGTCTGTTTCCTTCCCCAGGTTAGGTAAGTTTTCAGCTATTACTTCTTCAAGTAAGTTCTTTGTGCTTTTCTCTACTCTCTCCTCCTTCTGGAACACTTACAATGCAAATGTTAGTCTGCTTGATGTTGCCCCTTTAAGACCCTTGAGCTATACTCACTTTTTTCATTCTTTTTGCTGCTCTGATTGGGTGAGTTCCACTGTCCTCCTTCTGCTCCATCTAGTCTGTTGTTGAACGCCTCTAGTTTCTCAGTCATGTATTGTATTTTTCAGCACTGTGACTTACATTTGATATTTGATACTTTCTTATATTTTCTATTTCTTTGTTAAAGTTCTTTGTCCATCCATTCTTATCCCAAATTCAATGAGCATCTTTATGACCATTTCTTTGAGCTCTCTATCAGGCAAATTACTTACCTCCATTTCATTAAGGCTTTTTTCTGAAGTTTTTATCTTGTTCTTTTATTAGAAACATTCTTTTGTTTCTCGATTTTGCTTGACTCTGTTTCTACGTATAAGATGAAATAGCCACCTCTCCCAGGCTTGAAGGAGTAGCCTCATGTAGATGAACCTTAACATCCAACCTTGCTAACTGCTACTTGTCTCTTGACATTTCGTGATTATCCAAGCAGCTTGTTCTTTTTTATTTTTTTTTTTAAAGATTTTATTTATTTATTTGAGAGAGAGAGAATGAGAGAGAACACATGAGAGGGGGGAGGGTCAGAGGGAGAAGCAGACTCCCTGCCGAGCAGGGAGCCCAATGTGGTACTCGATCCAGGGACTCCAGGATCATGACCTGAGCCGAAGGCAGTCGCTTAACCAACTGAGCCACCCAGGTGCCCAGCTTGTTCTTTTTTAATAGCTCCCAATTGTTGGAAGGTGTGCCAAGACCTGTCATTATCCCAAAGGAGGTAATCTCAGCACCTACACTGAGACTGATTGGAAGGAAGCCAAACCATCAGGCAGCAGCTTTTGAATAAAGCAAATATACACAGTCTTTTAAGACCACAAGCATAAGACCTGCTAGCCACCAGACCAGGCAATCTACAGGTATCTGCTAGGCAAGAGCTGAAAAAACCAGGGCTCCAGACAAGTGTATAATCTCCTTCGTGGAGGATACCAGCAAGCTGTAGCAAGACAGAGGGAGAGTGCAAAAATGACATTGATGGTAAAGATGGTACCCACTTAAAAAAAAAAAGTCTGGAATAAAAGAATGTGTGTGTATATATGTGTATATATATGTATATATATGTGTGTGTGTGTGTGTGTGTGTGTGTGTGTGTGTATATATATATATATATATATGGCACCTGCCAGCTTTCATAAGTTAGCACTAAAATGCTGCCCACTAGCTCCTCTGTCCCTGGAGAGTATCCCCTATAGTCCCCTGCCTCACTGGTTCACATTTTATGATTAGCAAATGAATCTCTTTCACACATAGTCTGGGTACGTTTTGAATGGCTGCCTCTGCCCTGGTCCCTAGGGTGAGTGAATTTCTGTGAGAGCCCTCTAAAAGCTGTTTCTCAGATCACTATAGCCCTGGGTATCAGGGGCATGAGCTCTGTTGCTTTCCAAAGCTAGATGTTCTGGGGGCTCTTCTCTCAGGTACAGGTCTTAAAAGTTGGGGTGCCTGATGTGCGGTAGGAACCTTTCACTCAGGAAGAAGCTCCAGGTATGTGAGTTCCCTTCTGATTGTAGACTGCAGTGCTGGAGGTGGGGTCTGTGGGGAGACTGGGTCTCAGCCTCTCCTGCATGCTTCCATGTGACCCTTTTCTTGTTTGCTAACGTGAAGGAACTGTTCAGGTAGTTTTCAGGTCTTTTTTAGAGGAAATTGTTCCAGATATAGCTGTAGATGTGGTGTGTCCATAGAAGGAGGAAAGTTCAGGATCCTCCTATGTTGCCATCTTATACTACCTCTCCAACTCTGATTAGTTTTTTTTTTTTTTTTAATCATCTTTTCTGCATTAGAATTCCTAACTGGTTATTTAAAATGCAACTAATTTTTGCATTAAACTCAACTTTACTAAAAGCTCTTATAGCAAATAGCTTTTCAATTGATTCCCTTGGGTTTTTCAGGAATGTAACATCACTTGTAAGTAATATCTGGGTTCTTCCTTCCAGTATTTATTACTGCTTACTTTATTCTCTTGTCTACCTGTTCTAACACCTCCAGAAAAATCTTATAAGGTGTCTTTGCCATTCCAGACTTTAACTGCTTTATGTGTTTCATTATTAAGACTGATGTTGCTGGTCTTTTCAGGTTAAGGACAAATTCATGTATTTTAATCAGGAATAGATGGTGAATTTGATCATCTGTTTCCTTTGGCTTAACAGATTTTATTTTGAAATATCTTTAGGGATGCCTGGGTGGCTCAGTTGGTTGAGGGTCTGCCTTCGGCTCAGGTCAGGATCCCAGGGTCCTGGGATGGAGTCCCACATCAGGGCTCCTTGCTTGGTAGGGAGCCTGCTTCTCCCTCTGCCGCTCCCCCTGCTTGTGCACACTCTCTCTCTGACAAATAAATAAAAATCTTTAAAAAGAAAAAAAAAGATGCTAGCTTAAAGAAAGAAATATCCTTAATTCCTGGAATAAACCTCATTTGGCCATGACCTATTACTCATTTAATCTGTGAGATTCTATTTCTTAATATTTCAACTTAGGACTTTTATAAGGATAAGACACTCACCTGATACTTTAATACATCTACATTATAGTAAGAAGCAGCTGGATTTTGCTCTGATAGCTTCTTGAGGTAGATAGTAACAGCTTGCATGTTCATCCAAAAATCTTTTGTGTTAGAATCACACTGCGATGGATCACTGTATGCGTAAGAAATATTTTTGTTATTTTATCTGACTTGGCTTTATCCTTTGCCTCTGTATTGTCATTTGGTGACCTGGGAAAGACTAGTAGGAATAACCCAAAAGGAGGGAAAACTAAAGTTAGGGGGATAAAGAACAGAACATAGCAGAAACTTCCTTGAACAATGAAATAATGGGAGGGAGAGAAGGATTTAACAACTACCACTATCCCCACCCAAGACACACACAGGCAGTATAAGGCTGTATTGTCACCCAACTCAATTATTATTGCTTCAATAAAGAAGGAAAAAGTTTTACAGGAATTTCACCTTCAAAACAAAAGTACACAAACCTGAACACAAGTTGTGCATTTGGAAGAATTTGCTCTAGTCTGCTGATATTTTTCACCCTGAAGCATAGCACAGCTGGAGATGGATTGCTAGTGAAGACCTTAATAATTCCACTTGGGAATGATATTGTCATGTCACCAGTGATCTTCACAATACACCTGAAATTAGGGAGTTGGAAAATTTTAAGTGGTGTATATAAGGTGTTGTAATATACACTTAAAACATACTTGGTTAAAAAGGACACATAAAATCTTTCATCATAATTAATTATATTGAAAAAATAATTGGTATTTAAAAAATGATGGTATGTGAAATGGCATACGCATGTATCCTCATCTTTGCTTAGACTTAAACTCCAAACTCCAAACACAAATGCAAGCATAAAGATCATACTCCTTCACTTGTTTGTGGAAACCATCCCCTGGCTGTACTATAAGGACACTGCTTCCTTGGTAACACTATCCTGGATCCACTCGCAGCTTTTTTTCCCTGAAAAACCCCACCGAGTCCTGGGCCTGACAGTGGCAGTGGGAGATGTCTTCCTTGCTTCTCACTGCCCCTTCCAACTCTCTATTCCTACTTCCTTCCTAAAAACCTCCAGCCTCTTTTGTAACCCAAACCAAACCATCAAACTATACTACTTGGTATTCCATCCCTTTCAAGTTACCTTCAATACTCCCTTTAATTTTCCTGAAAATTTTAGCTCTTGGCCCACTGTCAGTCTGTCTCTGTACCACTACTCCTATCTTAATTTTTAGCAATTTCAATATCCACACAGATAATCCTCCTAATATTTTGGTCACCTAGTTCTCAGCCCCTTACCTCCATTGATCCTGTCTTCCAGACTACCTCAGACGCACCCCAGCCCCTCCATCATCTCAGTTTCAGCATCCCCACTCCTCTAACGGCCACTTCCTCTTTTCCCGGCTCATTCTGTCTAGTACCACATCTCCAACAAGTCTCCAACCTCCTCAAAGCTTCCACAATCCACTGTTCCTACTACCTTTTCACTCATTCCTTCAGATCCCCATTTCCTCGTCTCTTGGGATTTCCTGGTCCATCACTGTGCAATGCTACCTCTTCTCATACCTTCTTTCTCCTCCAACCTGCAATATTCCTTTCCCCTACCCGTAGCCATTGACTTTAAATTTTCCTGAGGAAATAAAATCAGGAAAGAACTTACTCAGTCTCACAACTGCACTCCTACTTGACTCTGTACTCGTACCTTCCCTCCTGTTTCAACAGATGATCAGTCTATGCACCTAAGGCCAATCTCACTGCTCCTGCATTGATGCTCATCTCCTTCTACATATCAAAGGACTTCACTCATGGAATTGTACCCTTTCCTGCAAGTTCAATTTTTTTCCCAAAAATAATGGATCTTTCCCATTAGTGTACAGACATGATAAAATGTGTATCATCTTTTAAAAAATGAACTAAAATTAATAAAAACTTTCTCTGATTCTATCCATCATTTCTCTGCTGTTACCACTCCACCTCTCTCCTTCCACTTGGAGCAAAACATCTTGAAAGTTTTCTACACTTGCCCTTTTCAAATATAGTCATATTTGTATCATCTCCTACTCTTGAACTCCCTCCAAGCATGCTTTCATCTCCAGCACTCAACTAAAATCACTCTTGTAAATGTCACCAATGAGTTCCATAATGTCAAAGCTCCATTTTTCCTGACGTATCATCAGCATCAGTTCATCCTTCACGAAAGGGTTTTAATTCACTTCATTTCTGGGACACTGCTCTACTGGTTCTCTCCTCACCTCTCTTGCTGCATGCTGTATCAAATTCCTTTACCAAATCACTGTCATCTTCCTATTTTCGAAACACTGAAGGGAGCCAGAGTTCTCATCAGATCTCTTCTGTATTCCCTGAGGCCTGTGGCTTTCAGGATTGTATACAAATTAATGACTACTAAATACTTTATCTCTCTCCTAAGATCTATTCCCTGAACTCCAGAATCATGTATTTAGTTGTTTTAATAAGTACTTTAAACTTACCAATCTCCTCCCTTCCCAAATCTTGACAACCCTTGTTTTCAAAAGGAATTCAATATCGCATTATTACTCACGATTTCCTCAGCTAATAACCTTACATAAGCTGCCATCATCTCTCACCTGGACTGCTGTGGTTAACCTTCTCTCTCTGCTTGTACTCTGGCTCCTTCTAGTTTATTCTCCATATGGCAGCCACAGTGCTCCTTCAAAAACCTAAGTAACCTCATCATTTCTCTGCTCAAAAGCCTTCACTGGTTTCCCACCTTGCTCAAAATAAACTCCAAACTCACCATGGTCTACAATTCCCAACCTGATCTGGTCCCTCTAAGGACTTATCTTTGACTACTCCCTTGCTAATTCCAACTTAGTGACGTAATATTCTCTTTGCTGTTCATCGAATATGCCAAGCACGCTCTGCCCTCAGACATCTGCATGGTTTGCTCCACAATGTCTTTGAAACATCTTAAATTTAACATCAAAAAGGTTTTCTTTGGGGGCACCTGCATGGCTCGATCTCAGGGTCCTGGGATCGAGCCCCGCATCGGGCTCCCTGCTCTGCGGGAAGCCTGCTTCTCCCACTCACACTCCCCCTGCTTGTGTTCCCTCTCTAGCTGTATCTCTCTCTGTCAAATAAATAAATAAAATCTTTTTTAAAAAAATGGTTCTCTCTGATCATTTTATCTAAAAAAAAAAAAAGGTAGCCCTCTATTGTAATTTTGTCTCCTCTTACCCTAGTTTATTTTTCTTCATAGCATATATATCAATACCACTCCCTTTCATGTTGTTCAACATGTAATTATCCATCAATTACTCAAGTGTGGAGGATACATCAACATAGAAAAAGTTCTCTAAAAGTTTTGCATTACCATAAGAGAAAACTAATAAGCTGATTCTCACATAATACAAGCTTATATCAGTGTCTTTCTTACACATAGTAAGCACTCAAATATTTGATGAATGAATGTATGCTGAATGAGTACGGTTATACATGAAAAGTAGGGGTGGTCATTCACCACAACATTTTCTTAAAAGAAGGGGGTTAAACCAATTCCTTGACAAGAGTTTCATAAATGAGACATATATTCTAGGTCTCTCTGGCAAATATAACACTTTACCAAAGATATACATTAAACCAAGATTCAGAGTTCTATCCCCTTCTCGTCAGCTGCCATCATCCTGCTCTATAGACATGTCAAACAACAGATGGGTCGTAATGGTCATAAACCTTGGGCAAGAATATAAATAAACTGGGGGGATAAAGCCATTAATGCTGATTATAGTGATTTTTTTTTTTAAAGACAATGGCTAAATGACTATATTTGATAGCAAAAAAGGCAGGTAAATAAATAACAGAAAACTCTATTACAGAATCAAAATGTAACTCTGAAAATTTACCACTAGGCCCTCTCCCCACCAAACACATGCACACACACACACATCTTTTTAAAACTAACTTGGTGGGATCTGCTCCTTTAAAATAGGCATTAACAGATTCTGTGAGGGCAACTGCCACAGGTAAGGTGTCTTGATTTCCAAGGCTGACAGGGCTGGGACCTCGTGACACACCTAGAATACATATAATTCATTTGTTAAATCCTACATAAACACATTTATAAAATTCATCAAGACAGGTAAAATCACAATGTTAGCTTGTCACAAATGACTCTATTACTGGTTCCATTGATGGCTCATGTATAAATCTGGAGGTTAAGAAATAGAGCATAAAACACATTGGAACGTAATACAGAGGACAAAAAAAGTCAGGAAAACACATCACACTGACTTCTTTTAAATGAAATGACACTGAACACTGGGGTTAAGGAATATCAGAACCCTTCCCCTGAAGAACTAAAATTACTAAAACATTTCTTCACAACCCTTCAGATACTAAATTGTTTCAGGTTCTACCAATCACATACAGCAGGGCATTAAACTGGATTTTTGTATTTCAGCTACTTCTATACATCAGCTATTTCTAAATTATACACTACCCATTATAATTCTTTTACTTCTTCTTTGTCTAATGCTTACATTTTATTTCCTTACCTTGATAAATGGGATTAATTTTTTTTTATAACATTCCTGACATTAGGTATATTATCTAACTAAGTAAACTTTATCTATATAAACATCAGGGTTTTGTTTTGGTTTTTTTTTTAAGACTTCATTTATTTATTTGACAGAGACACAGTGAGAGAGGGAACACAGCAGGGAGATTGGAAGAGGGAGAAGCAGGCTTCCCGCTGAGCAGAGAGCCCGATGCGGGGCTCCATCCCAGGACCCTAGGGATCATGACCTGAGCCGAAGGCAGACGCTTGACTGAGCCACCCAGGCACTCCTAAACATCAGTTTTTTTTGAAGAATAATAAAATGTAGGGGCGCCTGGGTGGCTCAGTCGTTAAGGCAGTAACATAAAAATCTCAACAAATCACAACAGCTACTATTTACTAACTCTAACATGTGTCCAGCACTGAGCTAAGGTGGCATGAAAAAAATGCTGCCTTTTGAAACCAAAAGTAGTTTTCCAAAGCGGGAGCATACTTGGGGAATGAGGGATGGCTAGAAAGATGAGAGGGGAAGAGGATGTATCTAGAGAAATGTTTAAGGCCCAGATCACAGCATGGAGGACCTTTAATTTTATCCTTATGGCACTAAAAACCACTAAGAATGTTTAAGAGAAACATGGCTACATTTTTCATTTGGTAAGATCACTCTGAACACAGAGTGGATCCTGGAATGAAGAGAAAAATGTCTGTTGTCATGGATTCAATTTTGGATCAGGTGAGAGATGATTAAATGAAAGATAAGGAGGGGCGCCTGGGTGGTTCAGTCGTTAAGCGTCTGCCTTCGGCTTAGGTCATGATCCCAGGGTCCTGGGATCCAGCCCCTTATCGGGCTCCCTGCTCGGCAGGAAGCCTGCTTCTCCCTCTCCCACTCCCCCTGCTTGTGTTCCCGCTCTCTCTCTTTCAAATAAATAAATAAAAATCTTTAAAAAAAAAATACATTTTTCTAAACTAGAGGGTCACCAGAAATTCAGAAAAGCGTATTTTTCAGAGGAAGATGAAAGCTATTATACTTTTTTACTAAACAAAACTGTATTCTCAATTATGAATTCAATCTTTTCCCTTGAAACACCTACAACAAATGGATATTTACACAGTCATGGGTAACACTAATGTCTGCTCCTACTTTGACATAAAAAAATCAAAAGAAGGGGCGCCTGGGTGGCTCAGTCTTTGGGCATCTGCTTTCGGCTCAGGTCATGATCCCAGAGTCCTGGGGATCGAGCCCCACATTGGGCTCCCTGCTCGGTGGGAAGCCTGCTTCTCTCCCTCTCCCCCTGCTTGTGTTCTGCTCTCACTCTCTTTCTCTCTTCTGTCAAATAAATAAATAAAATCTTTAAAAAATAAATTCAAAAGAAACCTACATATTATTATTTTTAATTATCCAACTTGGGCATATAAAATGAGAATTCTTGAAATAGTCCCTGTAAATTGTTAAGCCCATTATTGAAATATTGGCAAGTAGAAAAAAATCACTGAACAGTAAGGGGAAAAAACTCAAAACCCACTTAACATCTTGGCATATCCCCTTGAGTATTTCCTATTCTTATTTGCCTTTCAAAATCATATTGCATATGCATAGTTCAAAAAAAAGTTTGACATAGGAAATATGTAATCAAGTCCTTAAAATAGTATAGAAGTCTAAATTTATAATGTACTATTCAGAATAAATCATTTCTTAGAAATAAAAAATTCCCTGTATTCTTTAGAAGGGTATCACATATTCTAATTTTGGTGTCATTGTTCTATATTTAAACAACTGTATGTTTCGAAAATGCAGAGAGCTTATAAAATTGAAGTAAGAAGTATCTTCCTATAACAATCAATGGATAATTTTGTGGAATTCCTTTTGGCTCAGGATTAAAAAACACTCCCAATTATTTGCTACCTTTGTACCTCCAACCTCACCTCACAATATGGATGGCTTTCCTAGGACAGTCTTTGCTCTGGTAGTTGAGGTATTACCATTCTTTTAACTGACATAGTCTTTCTGCTTCTTTTCTAATCACCTTTTCTCTGGTTCTGACAACTTTAGCAATAAGATTTATGGACATTCTTTAATGCTGAGGAGGAAAGAAAAGCAAGGAGATGGAAGGCAATACAAAAATGCTGTAGGTTTTTATGAGGGGGGAGCTGATATCAATAGATCCTGTACAGCAACTGGACATAATTAGTACAAAATCGAGAAAGTTAAACCTTAGAGTTATTCTTGACTTCTGAGACAGCGTACATCGCTGAAAAAGGAAAAATGAGGTAACAAAGTATTTTAGATACTTTAGGATCATTAGTCAACACATACATTGCTTCTGATACAATACCTTGTGAAGTCTCACAGTGCTTTTCAATTTCAGAGAGTGTCCCAATCAAATTATCATCTTCTATCATATTTAAATAAAAGACAATATTGCAGGAAAAGAAAACATTTTCAAGAAGAATCAAAAACTTAAACATAATAAAAAAAAGTTAACTTTTATGGTAGACTTAAGGTGCCTTTGTTGTACAAAATCCACATTGTATCTTGCCTGCCAGGACCATCGTATCACCTCCCTGTGGTTCCCTTATTGCCGGCGCTGGCCCAAACTAAAAACAAGTACGTACCTAGTACCTACTCAATCAAAAACAGTTTCCATCACAAATTGAAATCCTTCTAAATAACCTAGGGAAAATGGAGAACTAAAGCAAATTTTGGTTACCCAGACCACCTGTCTAACTTTTAAAGGACCCTCTGTTTTTTATGACTGAAACAGTCTGCAAAACCAAAATTAGTAACATATATACAAAGAAAATATAAGAAGAAAGTGCTCAATACAGCAAATAGAAAAACTTACTAGATGTATTCTACCTTAAGTTAAAAGATAGGAAAAATGATATGCTCATAAAGGTGTATATAAAATAAGATGGTAACATGTTTGGACATGTAAAAATCAAAGAACTTTTAATCTTACGTTAGCCTATATTATGTCATTTTTACGATGGCCACACTTAGAAAATGCCCTTCTCCTTTCTGAGTTTTGACAAATCATATTGGATATAATTAAATCTGCTTAAATATGGCTATTATTCTCAAACTTAGCATGCATCACAATCACCTGGAAGGCCTGTTTAAAAATTGCTAGCCCCACACGGAGTTTGGGATTTAAAAGGTCTCTGTTTCTAGTAAGTTCCCAGGTGATGCACACAGATGGTGTAGGTACAAGGATCACACTTGGAGCACTACTGAATTATGCTGAGTTAGTGTGCATCAGTGATTGGCATTATCAAAGATAAACTCACTACTACTTAGAAGCAGTGGCAGGGACAGTTCTAACTTTGATGAGAAGTTGTCACTCCCATAACAGCAGCTTTAAGTGGCTTTGTGCTTTACTAACAGTGGGTGAGAAATGTAGTAAGAATTTGTAGAAAAAATTAAAGATAGAAAAATGTCTTGAGCAAAATCTAGATGTAATAAAATACTGGATTTACTGGGTGGGATTTAGGTTTATACGCCTGCATCCTAACATCTACTTTTAGATCTTTATGATTTAAATTCTTGTAGAAATACTTATTAATTGCAAGCACAAAACTCCTTTAAGTTGAATCATTATTAAAATAAAAACTCCAAGGAATGCAAGTATCACTTCACATTAGAAAGGACTGCATAATATTTGGCCTTCAACTATTTATACTGGTCAGTAGTTTATAAATTTGATGCACTCTTAACAATGCTTAAAAAAAAAAAAAGCCTCCTATTCAAGTAACAGAAACTGTGTAACAGAAAAGGAAAATGTGGCTAGTTTGATAACACCAGGTGTGTTTCCAAAATCCAAAATTTCTAATGTTAAATTCTTCATGAGCTCATTAAAAAACAAAATTCAGCCTGACCATACTTGGAATGCTAACTATCACATGTAATCTATGATAATCACTTACCTACTGTTGGAGTATTGGCAGCACTTAATGAAGCTGAAGATGAGATAGAGGAAGAACTTTCTGCCCGGGCTAAAGGAGCTGCAGGAGGTGGGCTAGTATTGGAAGTTACAGGTGGGCTGAATGGCCTGGGCTTAAAAACAAAAAGTTATTTACCAAAATGCTAAAACAGTTCTTCCTTATAAGAAAAGATTTTTAGGTATCAGGTAAGATTAATTTTAATATACTAAATCTAATTTATTGTTTCTTATAACTAAAAATAGAAATGCCATAGGTCAAATCATTTTCAAGAGTAGATTAAAGGCTGAGAAGGCTATTTTAAAATAATGCTGTCAAGAGAACCTTTAACCAAAGAACATTTTCTCTATTTCAAAAAGTATGTTTAAGACAGATTCTCAGAAGTTAAATTGTAAGTTTAAACAGTATGAAGGCTTTTCATACATACTGCCAAACTGCTTCCCAAAAGGATTATTCACTTTACTGTCTATAAATATAAGAGAATATTTCTCTGCACCCTTGTCAGCAATGAATGAGCATTAGAAGAAAAATAATTTTTAAATTGATAAAAATAAGATTGGCATTTTGCGCCTTTTATGAGTTGTCTTTGTTAGCTTTCTCTGATTTAGTTTCGTGAGGGCTTAGTATAACCTGAGCTTTCACTAATCCTTTGCTTTATTTGCTGCAAACCCTAAATCTTGCCTGCCCTATATTTTCGGTGTTTACAAACGTGTCCATTTTCCCTTTATAATTCCTTATAATGCTTCCTCATTGAGACAGTTTACCCCATAAAAGAGGTTTGAGAAATCTTAATTCTACTGTGTTCCCACTTTTCTAAACATAAAAACAAATACAAAAAATAGAACTTCATTTCTTTTACCTGGGGAAATGGATTTTTCCCTTCCACATTCCTAAGTGTTCCAATAATAGATGAGCAACACTTCCTCAGGGATTTCATTTTTTAAAATAAGGCATGCTTACCTTATTTAAAAATAACCTTTTCCTGCTTATAAAAGTATTAAGTGAAAACAATACTTATTTAGTGCCTACTATGTGTCAGGCCATGGGTTAGGAACTACATACAAAGCAGTGAATAAAAAAAGATATTGTTCCTGTCCTCAATTATTTGAGGGACATGAAAAACAAATGGCAAAAACAAAACCCTTAATAAGCATTCATACACTAAAATTAGTGAACTCTTGATTCTATGAATATACATTTATAAAAATTAGATACCATCCAAAGTGTTTTATACTAAGTAAACCCCCACTCCCGCAAATAACTTTAAACTATTAGTTCCAGAGAATGGCTTTTTGATGACTGATAATGATGACTAATAAGACTGAAAAAATATAGTAAGGTGTAAAACTGCAGCTCCCTATATATACAGATGAAAGTAGTACATGGCATGAGGCCAAACACATAGTAAATTAAACAGCTAATCTGAAACCTGCAAGCTTAGAAAAAAGTCTTGATCAACTACTGTGGGGGAAATTTCTCCTGTAGCAACATGGCCTTATGACCAATATTATGTCGCTACATTTTTATAATTTACAATTTAGAATGTGTACTTTATAATTGTTTATGAAAGGACAAAAACACCTATTTTTTCAAGTGGTTTTCCCTTATTGTAGAATGGCACTGTCCAGTATGGTAGCCACTAGCACTAGAAATGTGGCTAGTCCAAATTTGAGATGAGCTTTAAGTATAAAATGCACAGATTTTGAAGACTTAGCACACACAAACAGAAAAGATACTCACTCCTTATACTGATTACATTATAAAATGATTTTTTAATGAGTAAAATAAGTCAATTTCACTGTTTTTACTTTTTTAATGTGGCTACTAGAAAACTTTAATATATGTTGCTGCGTGGTATTTCTATTGAACAGCACTACTTAAAAACAGCAGTTCTTAAAATGCATCAGAAGCACTCAGAGGGCCACTTCACAGAGCTTCTGATTTTCCTGGGGTAGAGCCAGAGAAACTGCATTTCTACCAAGATCCTACGTGATGGTAATGCTGCTGCTGGTCTGGGGACCAAACTTTGAAAACAACTGCTCTAGAACAATGAGGCATTCCCTATCAAAATGTGAAAGGGTGTGATTATAGACCCTGTGAACATCTAGTCTCCCCAGAAAAGTGCACATACAAGCATGCAAGGAAAAGAGCACTCTGATGTACAGCTGGAGAGAATTCAAATCAGCATAACCTTTCTGGTGGGCAATACAGCAATAATCAAGAGTCTTAAAAATGTGCCTTTAGTTCATGAATTTTACTTTAAAATTTTTTACTAATAATGTATGCAAAGAAGTAAACAAAAGGATATTCATTAAGACATTGTTTATAATGAAATCATTAAGGCAATGCTGAATAATGAAAACTTGGAAATAAACTAAATGTCAAATAATCACATTTCTAAAAACCTTTGAAAATTTAATGCTGACAGACAGTGGTGTTGTAAGAGCATTTATGCTCTGCAGTCGTTTCAAAAGGTGCTCCTTGAAGCCCTCAGGGTGGTTTCTAGAAGGTTTGCAAGGCTAGGGCAGGGAATAAAGGGTGAAAGATTCAAGTAGAAAAGTCCCACTTTTACTTATTTAATAGATTTGCAACTTAAGATCATTTGACAAAGGATTCTACCACTTGAAAGAAGTTTGAAATCTATGGAATAATTCATGAAATAGAAAGATATCCCCCAAATATTTTCAAGTGAAGAATAAAAAATATGTAAGGTATGACCTTTGATTTATCATTCACAGTTAACTTTTTTGAGCAATTGCATTCCAAGCAACTCATTTAAGTCTCACACCACCTATTATCTTTATACCCATTTACCGATAAGGAAACAGAGACTCCAAATATATAACTTGGTTAATGTTGCTCAGGTAATTAGTCACTAATAAGCTGTGCTTTTTTAACAACTATGTTTTACTGCAAATGAATACTTAAGCACTCAAAAATTAATGAAAGGGTATAATAAAAGAGGTTAAGTGGATATCTTTGGGTCATGAAGTATGGAAGGGATTTTAATTTTCTGTTTTATCTATTTCCCAAATTTTACATGATCTCTTATAATCAGGAAAAAATCCCATGTTACTAAGAGGCAGTCATTTTTGTATTACTCAAATAATCATCATCTTGGCAGCCTGTACCTAGAGTCTTTGAGTTCACTTCCTTAGGTCTGTTTGTTAGGATAAAAGGAGAAAGATGTCACCATTTCAACACTTGGTGCTCCAGCCTTTTCATTTATTCATGAAACATCTCCTCACTATGTGACAGGTATTATGCAAAGTATGAGTTCGCCAAAGGTATAGTCCGGTGAAGGGAACACACAAGGAAAGTATATATAATGTAATTTGTGCACCAGAAGAAATATGAGCAAAGTATAGGGGTATAAGGAAGAGAATGATTAAATCTACTTGGGGAAGAGTAATGATCAAAGAGGGCTTTAGCTAGATGATAGCTGGTTCTTAAAAAAAGAGACCAGTGTCCTACATAGACAACTGAGGGACATTTTAGTAAAGGGAGCAAAATAAAACACGGATGCATAAAAGAATATGATGTGTTTGATGAACAGTGGAAAGTTTCAAAGGGCTGGAACATAGGTTGCAAAGAGGAGAAACTTGGGCAGTTAGTCTGGTAATAACCTAGGTGTTGAGGCAACTTGATAAAAAGCCTTGTACGTTCAGCTAAAACATTCAACCACATGGAGAGTGGGGAACCAATGGAGACGTCTATCTGGGGAAAAAGGTTAAGCTTGACTTTTAGAAATATAACACTGGTAATTAGTGTAAAACATGAAGCAAAGTAGAAGAGATGAGAGGCAAGTGGTTTGGGAGAGCCTCACTCTGAATGTAACTTGTAGATTTTCTTTAATTACCTGACAACTTTTGTAGGCCAATACTTTTTTCCTGAAGCAACATGTACTTTGACAAGTCAGTTAAGTGATCTGAACAAACTCTAGTTTCTTTATGTATAAAACAAAGCTGGACTAGATGCCCTCCAGGATTCTCCTGCCAGTATACTTCTAAGCCCTAAGAACAGGCCACCATTTCTTCCTTAGTATTTGACTTAAAGCAGAGTTACATGAGTATTGCTTCTTAAATGTGAAAGAATGATTACTGAATGGTATTTTTATGTGCTAACTTTCTCCGGAATCTCCTTTCCTCCTAAGCAATGTATCAATCCATGTGTATGATCACTGAGATAATATGAGGGAGTAAAGGGAAATGTTGGATGGGAAACTTTTCTACTCTTTGAAGACTCAAGTAGATAATTCCAAGTGCTTAACTGTAAAGGGGCATATAGAAAAAATACCATTTGCATCTTAAATCAAACAGTTATAATTAAAAAAAACAAACACCTGAGTACATACTATTTCATTAATCCCACTGAGTTTGCCTGAAGTAAGCTTTGGTCTGGAAGCAGGCCTTGGAGGTGGGACAATGGTGCCTACAGAAAGAGGAGTTGTGGGCCTGGCTGGTAAGGGGAAAAAGAGAATTTGAAGAAAATCATTAGTTTGTAGCAATCCTTACATAAAGACATCCTATTATAGAGGAACTCTTAGGACTCAAAGCTCATTTTCAGGAGTTTTTAAATATATATAATTATTGATATTTGGTGAAATACTGGGAATCTATCAAATAGGCTTTTCTTGAAGCTAACAATATTCCTGGAAAAAAAACAAAAAACAAAAAACATTAACTTTTCAGTAGAACTGACACACATCAACTGTATTCCTATTTCAATTCTTTATACCCGTAAAAAAATAAAATCTGACAAATAAGCTAGTGAAAATAAACCAATTGAAGGCTAAGGTCTTTAGTTTATTGCCAGTCCATCTACTTACAGACAGTAATGTAAGACCAAGCCTTTGAAGTAACACCTTCGAAGTAGTAACATGAACTCTAAATAAAACACTTACCTTAATTAAAAGTCAAATTACAGGGGCGCCTGGGTGGCTCAGTTGGTTAAGCGACTGCCTTCGGCTCAGGTCATGATCCTGGAGTCCCGGGATCGAGTCCCGCATCGGGCTCCCTGCTCA